CCCTGTCATCAGCAAACTTTACCAAGGAGGTCCTGGCGGCGGCGGTACCGGAGCCTCCGGGGGACCGACCATCGAGGAAGTGGACTAAGCTTGCGCTCGAGTCACGTAAACCTCTTTTCCTTTCTTTCTTTTTTTCTCCTTTTGTTTCTACTTTGAAATGTCCTTGTGCCAAGTCTGAGATCTGTTGTTGGAAGTCTGTAACCAGCGTATGCTGGTGAAAGGAAAGGTGCAGCAACTTAGTTTAATTATAAAAGGTTCGTTCTGAAGTTCGATTTTTAAAAACATTATTCGAGGTTTCTCTTTAACGCATTTTGTGTGTTTGCTGACTTGAGCATTTTGAGGTAGCTTAGTTTGTGCATGGAGATTTGTTTGAGATGAGAAACCTTAATTTTGCACACCTGTCTATGAAAGCTTGTTAACAGTAAAACATATAGAAGCGTGTTTATTTTTATGTGCTATAACACTAAAGTAAATATCACAATAATATTAAAGACAGGTGTACTTTTGGCAAACAAAAACAAATGCAAATTTAAAGTAAAGCTGAAATTGATCTCAAAATTGCTGTCTTGGAGTTTTTAATTTTCCCTCCTTTGTCTTAACCATGTTGGTCTTTAAGATACTACTATGATATGAAAATTAACCTAATCTTGTCTTAATTCTCAGATGAGGTTCCTGCCTTGAATTACCAGCAACTTAAGGGTAGAAGAATCTGGGTAAATCCCTCCCATCCTCTTATGCACCAACCTGACTAGGGTCTAGACTTTAAGTGTTCCAGTGAAAATCCACCTGAATATTCCAGGAAAATAAAAGCTATATCCTAGGGTTAAGTATAAATTCTTTTTCTAACAAAAGCTGGAGCAGGAGTCGTCTCATCATAGCCAAATGTAGTATGGAAATGAGTTGCTTTTACATCATACAGGTACTTGAAACCAAAGCCAGCAGGAGAGATGTATAGACTTAGTAAAGAGTTCAAATTTATCAAACTTATTTTAACCTCTCAATTTCCAAGCTTATGGAGAATTCTATACGTTTTAGCAGTTATAATTACTTAGAGGGTAGGAAAAGATACTATATAGATCGTTTTTTAAAAATTATTTATTTAATCTTATTTATTATTATTTTTAATTTGCTATGGGGCAAGTGTGCTCACCAGAGAGAGAGAGAGAGAAGAAAAGTGAGAAAGCAAGCCAGTAGGTCCAAGACTCGAACTATGGTTGGTCATTACATAAGATAGTAAACTACAGAAGCACCCCAATCACCATGAAACCTGCTGGCCCCTAGAATTTTTTTTTCCTGAAGGTCATAATGGTTTTGCAAT